TTCCTGTTCTCACCGCCCCCCTCTGGCCTCCTGATGCCTTCGCAGGGCCCTCGTGTGGAGGGGTCTCTGGGGGTGTGGATGAGCTGTAATATGCCACGAGAATAATCCACCCTAAAATGAGTGGCCTGTGTGAAGGTGCTCTTGTGCCAAATCTTAAACTTCCTTGTGCGAGATGGTGATGATGATGAGGTCCTTTTGCAATCGCAGGAAACAAAGGGTTGTGCTTGGCTTGTCTTTATGCTTGTCTGTTTTTTAAATGTTTCAGAAATGTCCCCCCCCAACTTGTTTAACGCTTTCCTCTCCCCCCCCCGCCCCCACGTTCGCAGGCTGCAGTCCCCTGAAACGTTAGGGGGCTAAACTTCGCTCAACAGAACTGGCTGGGAAGAAGATGTTTGGTGTTCAATAGAATAATGTAAAGCAAAAGGGTCAAAATCCCATTTCTTAACAGAACCTCTTTTTAGGATTTCTGAAACCCGTTCCAGGTGCTCGAGCTCGTGCTAAACTGGGCACGCAAAGCTGACGGCCTGCCCGCATGTCTCAGGCCTGGAGATGAGACCACTCGCAGGGCAGCCAGATGCCCCTTCGCTTGTTTCTGTGTTTCTTTAAAGCTCCCGGACTTCCTGCAGACAAAGCAGGAAAGTGGACATCGCCCCCTTGCAAGTACAATTGTTTGAACAAGGCAGCATAGATGACGATGGTGGGGGGGGGGGTCGGTATACCCCTCCCTCTCTCCCTCCCCTGGACGTGTGCAACCCCCCCCGGGCGCGTTCGGGCCTGAGCTCTCTCCTGGCAGCTCTGCGGTGGTCTTGTCTCCAGCTTCTGCAGAGCTCCTGGAAAAGGCAGAGTTGGTGCCTGGGTCCACAGGCCCCCCCCCTCCGTGTCCCCCTCGCCCTTTCACAGCGTCGAGTATTCTGACGCCTTGCCGGTCTTTGGAGAAATGGATCCAAAGCAGGTAGCGAGGGGTCAGCCCAGCCTTTCAAGGAGAGAGGGTGTAGACGTGCATGTTCACCCATAGGGGGCAGCAAACCCGCTGTTTGCCCCCTCCCTGCCGTTTTTTTCATCCTGTTTCTCGGAAGAGTTTTGTTATTGTTAAAAACACTGTTGCCATCCTTTTCTAATTCAGTCTTTTTTTGTGTTTCTCCCCCCCTCCTTTTTTGTTTTATTTTTTTATTTTTTCAGTTTTTGCGGCCACATTTTTGATCAGCGGCGATCCGTAAGTTTTCTCCATGTTTTTTTGCTCCACTTCTCATGTCAGATTAGTTTTTAGATTTTTGTCG